CACCCTGAAAGAGTGTGACTTTGGTTAACAGCGTAAATAGCTGCATTGTATATAACACGGAGATGTCATGCCATAGAAAATACAATCTGTGTCGAAATTAAGAGAAAAAGAGGAATAGAATTTTATTATAAAAGTGGCAAGAACTGGTGCACAACCCGTTAATTGTAAAGTCTCGTTTCAAACAATTCCCCCAACGAAGATAGTCCTCCTTATCACAGTCAATAGGTGCTTCAATATCATGAGTGAAGTGCATACTTGACTTGCATCTAGCAGTATTAAAACTTGAAACCTAATTAGAAGGGAAAATAAATTATCATGAAAAGCAGAGATGAAAGGAAGAGAGTTCTTAATAAGGAAAAATTACAGCAATCACCCCACTAAAGACAGTTCTCATGAAATGTAAAAAACAGAAATATACCAACCTCAACAATGGTACCGTCCATATGAACATGACATATTGGGAACCTTTTACCAACTATCTCACACCATGAAAATGTTTTCATCACCTACAAATTGAGTCAAGATTCACCATGCAAAGTTAAGTTCTGAAGACAACAAACCCAAAGTAGAATTTTAAATTTTCAAATAAATGAAATGAGATTGTATACATTAGCTTTTATGGAAAATTCACGTTTTACAAACACCAAATGCCAATATAAAAACACATGTTGCCCTTCTAAATGCAAATAACTTTTCTCTAGATCTATAGAGATGTCAAGTAAACTGCCATGTACATCAACTATTTGAAAATCAAAATAGAAATAGGAAATAAATGTAACCTCTTTAAGATCCGCTGAAGTTATAATATCAAAGTCTTTTGGTGTTTGCTTTATTATGAGATCCCGAACACAACCTCCTACAAGGTATACATCATGCCCTAGAATAAGAAGAAAAAGGGGGTTATATCAATCATGCACTCCACTCCCTAACTTTGCATAAACTTAGAAATCATGGAATCTTATTCTTAAACTATGCATACAGAAACACCATGCCAGCACATAATTAGTTTATAAAAAATGGCAATGGATAGCTCTAAATTATAAAATACTAACGGGCAAAAAAATAAAACAAAACAAGCAAAAAGGTCGACAAAAAATGCTCAATTCTTTTAAAAAAAAACAAAGTTGCCTTTAATGGAAAAATTAAGCAATATAGGTTTGGCATAGTCACAATTAAGGATGTATTTAAAAACCAGTTAAGTTGAATGGAGTTGAAAAAAGTTACACTCACAAGCTTTTCCTTTTTTATCTGAATGCGTGTTTTCTATTGAATATGGTTTTAACCTAGTATCCAAATATCCACTAATTGGTTTCCAATTATATCACAAATTATGCACAAGGTCAGGGCAGATGTTCAGGAAGAACAAATTGTATCCTGATTCTTTTTCTCACTTTGAATCATCCGCTATCGCAATTCATAAGGGAAAAATTAAGAACTCTTTCAAATACAAGTGAAAGGCAAGATGTTCAGACGGAAAAGAGCACATCTCACAAACAGTTGAGCCCAAAATGCAGTGCATCTAGCAAGCACAAATCAGCTATGTTTTTTCCTCCTTTGATGGAAACACAAAACCCAGGTTGAGAAAATACACGAGTAGCTAGAGCAGCAGCACCTACCCTTTTTCTTTAGCACGTTGAGAACCTTTTTGGTTGGAGTTGCTATCATGGAATTTCGAAGTCCAAGCTCTTTGGAATTCAACTTCTTCCATTCCGGGACCTTATTTTTTTCTTCATCAATTCAACACCCGAGAAAAAATATTTCAGAATCGGCAGCTTCAATAAATCAACACATGAAGCATTTGAAAAACAAAAAGTAAAACCTAATATGAGTTCTTCGCGGGTTCTCTTGCCGTGTTCACGAGTAGGGACGCTACATTCCTCTGCCTGGAGCGTAGGGAGGGATTTTGGCACAACCTAGGAGAATAAAACACAAAATTGAAAGAGGGAAAGAAAAGAGTGAATAATAAGGATAATGGAGAATAATGAGATACCTTGCGGACGCATTGGAAGGGAACGGAGCGAAGAAGGAGATTGGGTTTGCAGGCGAATTTTAAGGTAGTGATGGCCATGGAGAATAGAAGCGACGTGGTTAAGGTTTGGTCAGTTACGCTCCATTGTTGGTGATAGGGTTTAGGTTATGTTTAGGGTTTAAGGATGATAAGCTGCCACATACCACATATTCATATTTTTCATCAATCTTAGGCCGTTCCTACCAAACCATTTTACTCAGTTCGGTGCCACTTTACTCACCTAAGCTCTAAAATAAAATTATTTTTTATGTTTTACCATCATCATCATCCAAATGTAGCTAGCAAAAAAAACAAAAATTAAACTCACACGCTTAAGCAAGGTCAGGGGTTCGAATCCTGCCTTGTGTATGCAGCCGCGTTAAATCTTGGGATCAGTTATCCCACTCTTTGAGGTGCCTCCAACGTAGCGAGGAGATTAGTTACTCGGCGGTGGATACTCCAATAACGAACTTAAAAAAAAAAAAACACATGATTTGCGTGGTTGACATTCATTCAGGGGTAGATTTCATTGATTTGGCGGCTTCTTTTTTACATTGTAAGGTGGGTCAACTACCGTTTAAGCATTTGGGCTTACCTCTTGGTGCAAATCCTAGGAAGTTGTCTACTTGGAAATCAATGCTTGATGGCTTACGCAAGCGTCTATCCTCTTGGAAGCATAGGCATTTGTCCATTGGGGGGAGGATGACCTTAATTAATTCGGTTTTGAATGCTATGCCCATCCATTTTCTAAGCACCCAAGCAACGAAATAGGACAAAAATTAGTCATACCTTGAGGGCAGGGAACTTTGGGGACCAAAGCCACAAAATAAGACAAAAGAGCCTTTGGAACCTTCAAGTTAGTATGAAACTCAGCAAGCAAATCCATCACATCCACCTTCATAAGAGGCCAAAATCTCTTCAAGAAAGCAAAATTAAACCCATCAGTTCCTGGGCTTTTGTCACCATCACTCTCCTTAATCAAACAACACACCTCCTCCTCAGTAAAGTCACCAACCAACCTTGCATTTTGTGCATTAGACAACACAGGAAAACCAGTAAGTGACACTCGCGGGCTAAGCCAACTTCTGGCTTTGAAATGCTCCTCAAAATATGAACTCACCACCTCTTTAATCTCATAAACCTCCTCTACCATATGCTCACCTATCTTCAAAGCAATAATCTGGTTACATCGCTGCCTTCCCCTGATAGCATGAAAGTATTTGAAATTTAAATCACCATATTTACTCCCAACGAACTCGCGCCTTTTGAGCTAACAAGTTTATTTTGTTCCTCCGAGTATACCAAATACCATCCACTAGCTTAGTTTGGAACTTACTAAACCTTATGAATCTAAATTCTGAGATCAGAGTTACTAAGATGAGACTTGTTCATCATTTATATATTATATTTTGAATACCAAAGAAACAAGATAATAAAAATTAGACTTAACCAGAATACAAACTAAAAAATGCTTTTGGGATCTTGTCTACTGAAAAGTACTTCTTATTTTTGATAAAGAAACTTTCAAAATTACTTGTAACGTGCACGGAAACAAGTAACTAACCGGAGTAGAAGATCCACTTGACGGGTCTGCGAGTGAGGACATCCTCGTAGTACCAGATGAAGTCAACTTTCTCCCAGACATTGCAGAGGAAATTGTCGACGTACTCCTGGCCTAGGTAGGTGGCACCGTGGAGCCAATCAGGACGGAGAATGCCGACCTCGAAATGGATAATTTTGCAGGTTTTGTCGAAGGGTTGGAGGGTGTAGTAAAAGGATGTGCCATTGTCCCACTCGAGGTCGTACTTGAGGACACCGAGTTGGTGTTGGATGATGTTGAAGTTGCGGCCGTTGGGCCAGTCGTACCATAGGTCCGTTTTCTGGAGAGACCCGCTTCGGTTGATGAACAGCACTGAGTGGAACTGCTCCGGCCAATCGGCGGGAACGGGATCTTCCGCCATGGATGAGGAATGTTGAACAAAGAGGAATAATAATAACAAGAACAAATCAATGCTTACTTCTCTCGCAGAGGCCATTGCTAAGAAGATAAGAATTAAGGAATGTGCCTGTCACTGTGGTAACAATGATTTGCACGGAAACACATTCATGAACACCTGCCAACAGAACACCAAACACTTGATCGGAGCCTTGCATTTCCAAAGACTTTTTATAAATAGATGAAAATCTAAAGAATATCTGAGTTCTCCACCCAGCAAGCGCTGCAGCCAAAGGTACATACTTTTCACCGAGAATACACCGTCCTTATCACAAATCCATCTCCAATAATCTTGCTTAGAAGAGAAAATCTGCAAACCCTGAAGCAATTTCAACAAGGTATTCACACTCCTAACTTCATGGACAAAAGGTTCTCTTTTCCAATTAACCTGTCACACCCACCTAGATCCCTCCCAAGTTCCATTATGTGCCACCACTGACAATGGATCAAAGGCAAAGGAGTACAAAGAAGGAAAGACATCCAACAAGCGCAAACCACCTATCCACTTATCTTCCCAAAATCGGGTCATAGTGTCATCGCCAATACAACGCTCAATCTTTTCATCCAACCAAAAATTTCCTTGTTGTAGCACCCACACTATATCCTTCCATCACCAAGAAGCCCTCCTATCCACATTTGAACAATTAGAAAAGGACTCAATGCGCCCATACCTACCATGAAGAACTTTAGCCCACAACATACCTGGAGAGAGCATGCACCTCCACACCCATTTCCCTAGCAGTGCCCAATTCAAAAATAAAATTTGATTCTCCTATTAAAATAAAGTTGTAACTAAAAATATTATTTTAATTTTAATATAAGTATCATTTTATTTTTAATCTAGACACTTTTGGGAAGAGGAGGTTTACCTCCTAATTTTTCAATCTAACCTTTGCTCATCATAAACTGGTCAAACTAATCTATCAATTCACTTTTTTTTTTAATCTCTAATTTAAAATAATTTTTATTTTCACTTAAAAAAATAGTATCTTATTGAAATATAATATATATATATATATAACAATAAATAGTTAAGCAGGTTATTGGTGAGATAAATTAATTAGATGTATAAATGAGATAAGTTGATACTTAGGTCTGTCATGAGTTGAACTCGAATGGATTTGAACCGGATTAAATTTTATGATCAATTATAAGTTTTTTTTATTTTATTTTTTTCTCAATCCGTCTCATTTTCAAGACTGGGTTGACTCTCGTACTGGAACCAAAAATGTGACATAGTACTATTTTTCTATTGGATCATAAAACGTGTAAAAAGTGAGAACCAGACTGATCCATAAGCTGGGTCCGGATTTCGTGGTCCAACTGGATGATTTGTATAATGGCTTTTGCTATTTATACCCTTCTATTTACTAAGTACGCCCCCTATTTGCTTTCTTTTAAAAAAAAATTATCTTCAAATAATCTCTTTAGAGTATAATAATTGTTTTTTCTCTCTCAAAAGTGTTTCTTTGTAAGTAACCTCTTTTTATTAATTTTTTTCAAATCATACTCTGGTGATTAATATTTTTTCAAAAACGTTTTTTTTTCATGGTCATTTTTTTTTCTCTTCTTTTAAAAATGTTATGTTTTTGGACTGTGTTTAGTGGATCTCTCTTTCTTTGAGATTGGACGCTTTATTTATTCTCTCCTTTTTTAGGAGTCGGATGCATTGAAGTTGTTTTAGAAAATATTACCATAAAGAGTAATTTTCTCAACATTATCAAGTTCTTTGTATTTCTTTAGCAAAACATTTATCTGTGAATATGAATCATATGCAAATAGTAACACATTGTACTATGCTTAGCAAGTTCACATGCAAAAAGTATATTAATGTATAATAAGTTACATTTATCAAATTATTAACTTATTTATAAACATACTAATAATATTATTGATATTAATTTATTAATAATATTATAAAAATAATCATATATAAATTTTATTTATTTAATAATAATAAATATATCATTTGATACATATCGATTATCTTGGAAATAATTGATTATCTGGGCAAAGTTAGGAAAAACAACCCTTTGGAATAATCGATTATTCTAAAAATAATCGATTATTCATAGCAGATAGTGTTTTTAAAGGGTTTTACTGATACAAATAATCGATTATTTGTATAAATAATCGGTTATCTAGGCGACTTTAGACATTCCTGAAGCATTTTGAACGGTTATATGCACGCCAAACCCTTAACTTCCCATAACTCTTTAGTTGAAAATTAAAACCTCCCCACTCAGAAACGTGCTAGGGCATAAGAACCCCCAAAACCTCTCATTTCTCCACATTCTCACATTCTATCAAACCCTCAAACCCTAACCTCCTCATCTCTCTCATTCTCTTCTTCTCCACCAAGACCCATTCATGCCTTCTTCCTCCAAAAGACCCAAGAAGCTGGAAGTGAGGGGGAGAAAGAGCCTCTACCCTCAGGACAACTAATCTCCAAATGGTTTGCGGATGAGAAAACCCAAGAATATTACTTCGAGTGGTATGCGGGTCAAAGAATCATCCCTCCCAAGACCCTGAACTTGGAGTGGTTTAAGAATGAAGGGTTTAGCTTTCCAACTCTTCTAGAGCACCAAGAACTTGGAAAGTTTTTGGAAATGGAAGGACCCTACTACCCTGAGTTGATCAGGCTGTTTCTTTGTTTTGCAACAAGCAATGAAGGCATTATGCAATCAATAGTGAAGGGCAAGCTGATAAAGCTTGATGGACCAACCTTGAAGGCGGCTGCCAGGCTGAGTGGCACTGGAAGGCAAAAACCCTAACCCTTTAACTTTGGTGATTTTGAGGAGCTGACGACCTTCAGAGATTGTCAGAGGAATCCTAAGAACACCAACTACAAGTAATTTTAAAGTATTGTATGTATATATATATACTAAAATTATTAAATTTTTAATGGGAGAAATTAAAATCGCACAATTATTTAGGGACTAAAATTATCATATTAAAACCTTGGGATTAAAATTATACAATTGCAATTCATGAATGATAAAAATGTAATTAAGCCTTTTTCTTTTAATTGATTTACAATACTTTGGAATTTAGGGTTTATGGTTTAGGATTTAGGGTTTAGGGTTTAGGGTTCATTCCCGTTTAAATGAGAATTAGTTTGTACATATACAAGATCATATACAGGTTCAAACCTATTGGTTGTTGGCACCGTTATTAAAAAGAATAAAAAAACCGTTAAAATGGGTTCTCAAACTTTAAACCAAACTTATTAAAAAAAATGAGCTGGCCAATGAACTTCACCAATTTGACTATGTTGTTTCTATATAAGTCGTTGATCATATGTTTCATGCTTCACATTTCTTCTTTGAAGACTTTTAAAGTGAAATGAGTCGTTTCAGTTTTTATGGTCTTTTAGTATGTCATGCATGTTCGTCGTGTTTTACCATTAAGGCTAAGATGACTATATATACATATACATAAAGAGGGATTTTTTTATGATTATCTATCAATTTAAATTAATGAAATGAATGTATCAAATTATTTTTAAATTTTTTAAAAATTTGCATATTTGATTTATGCATTAAGAACTTTAAATTCAATGGTTGAATCGTTGAAATTTAATGTAGAATATGAGTTATTAAACGGAGTAAGTCTATGTAAACTTGCTCCTGAAATAAAAGGATCTCTCCTCTCTCTCTCTATATATATAATACTATATCAAGTTCCCTTCTAAAGATTTTATTTTAGTTATTAATTTTGATATGAATAAATTTTTTTATCACATTATTTTTTAATTTTTATTACTAAATTGTTATAAGGACTAAAGAGACATATCTAGTTAGAGATTAGAAAAGTAATATTAATTATGTAATCATAGATAAATGATTACAGTTGTTTTTGATTAATTTATCCAAACATGCACTACTACAAACTGTATTATTTACATCGGTTCTGCGAAGTCATCTACATCGATTCCAAAACCGATGTAGAATAGAGTGACTTAGAAAATGTATGTAGTTCTACATCAATTTTAGAACCGATGTAGATTTATGTTGAACCCTAAACCCTATAATCGAGTTTAGCGCAAGCGTCGCGCACAGAGGATTTGCCGCCATCCCGTCAGAAACATTAGCCACGCCCCCAACCTGTTCTCCATCCCGTCGTCGGCGTTGCTCCCGCACACCACGTAGAGCACCTTCACCAGCGGCAGGAAAATCCCCCCGCCCTTGCCAACACCAAGGGAATCGTCGGCGCCAGCAATGCCTCACTGAAGACCGAGCTATAACCTAACCCTAGCGAGGAGCTACCGAAGAGCTTCACAAACTAGTACACGAAAACGCTTTAATCTGTTGAACAATTTAATTTCTGATGGTATTTGAAGTTTAAATTGCTGATATATTGGTTTGAATGGTGTGAAAATTTTGATTTGGTTGGTTGATGCTATGATGTTCTGTTTTTTGAGCATGGTGATGTTATGTTTTTTGAGCATTGATATCTTGATATTTGATATTTGGTGAGCCAAATTGATAATGTTTTTGGATTTTAACATTCTGAATTGTGGATTGTAACTTGTAATTTTGGCTGACCAATTCATCTTTGAGTTGCTGATCTAATGATTCTGACTTGGATATTATAGTTCAAGTTCACAAAGTTTGTTTGTTGACCAATACCTATGATGTGTTAAACCAGTTTTGGTATTGTTCTGAGCATATAAGGTGTATGCATATGGCTCATACTATGTGTTGTGGACATACATAGCTTGATTTGTTTTTGATGATGTCCAAAGGGGGAGAAAGGTTTTTCTTTGGTTGTTTTGCAGATTTTGAGTGTGAAAAAAAAAGGCAAAAGCAAATGAACAAAATTGCTTAAGCTTAGCATGATTTGTCATCAAGCTTAGCATGGTTTGTCATCATCAAAAAGGGGGAGATTGTTGGGATTGGAGAGCTTGAGATTGATGAGATCACCTCTGAAGTTTGAAGAGTTTTGATGATAACAAATGTGTACCAAGGACATCAACAACAAAGAAGTCAAAAACAAAGTCAAAGAAAGACAAAGAAGAACACGAGCGCAGTGAGCCACGGGATGAGGTCGCCGAAGCTGGAGAATGCGGCGG